TTATTTGTGTATTTATTTGTGTGTGTGTGTGTTTGTATTTGCTTGTGTATGTGTGTGTGTATGTGTGTGTGTATGTGTGTATGTGTGTATGTGTGTGTGTGTGTGTGTGTGTGTGTGTGTGTGTGTGTGTGTGTGTGCGTGTGTGTACATTTATATATACGAAGGAATTTCCAAACCAACCAATATCTTAAGTTAGTCAAGGTACTAAAAATCTTTTTTTCCAGTGTTTGTTATTGTGTTTACGAGTGAAAGGGAGCCCATTCACACTAATATAATTTCACTCGTCACGGTCTACTGTGTTTGACTCTCTCTCTCTCTCTCTCTCTCTCTCTCTCTCTCTCTCTCTCTTCCCCTCTTCCCTTGTCCATCCTTCATCCCTCTCCCATCTCTCAACTTCCATCCTTTTCTCTTTCTTCCTCCACTTCTCCCTCGTTCCCTTCCAATCTCCATCTTCCTTTTTTCCTCCCTTCCTCCCTCCCTTTCCCTCTCCCTTCCATCTTCTCCCTTCCTCCCTTTTCTTCCCTCATCCCCATCTCCTTTCTGCATTCCTTCCCTCCTCTCCACCTCGCCCCATCTCCCTCCCTCCCTCCCCCCATCTTCCTTCCCTCTTTCTCCCTTCCTTCCTCTCTCTCCCTCTTTCTTTCTTTCTCCTTCTCTCATCCTTCCTCCCTCTTTCTCCCTTCTTTCCTCTCTCTCCCTCTTTCTTTCTTACTCCTTCTCTCATCCTTCTTTTTTTCTTTCTCTTTCTCCCTTCCTTCCTCTTACTCCCTCTTTCTTTCTCCCTTATTTTTCCCCTAACCCTTCTGCTCTTCCCCCTACCCTCCACTCACCCCTCTCCCTTCCCCATCTCCCCCCCTCCCCTTCAAACCTCTCCTTTCCCCCCTCTCTATCCCCTTTTTTCCCTCCCTTTTGCCCCCCTCCCCCCTCCTTCGTCTCCTCCATCCCCCTTCTTCCTCCCTCTCTCCTCCCCTTCCCCTTCATGTACCTTCTCCCTCCTCCTCTCCCTCCCTCCCACCACTACTCTCCCTCCTCCCACCTCTCCCCTTCCCTCCCTCCTCCCCTCCCTACCCCTCCCTCCATTCTTTCCCCCTCCTCCCACCTCTCCCCCTCCTTCCCTCCCTCCTCCCACCCTCCTTTTCTTATATCTCTTTTTTTTTTCCTCTTTTACGGAACCGAAGTATCGCCAGCGAGACAAAACGATGCATATTCAGTCTACGATTAACAACCATTAAAGGGGGATCCTCGAAGTGAAGTTGGTTTTCCTCTTTGTTGAAAACGTGTGTCAGGAAACTTCATCATTCTTGGGTGAGAATCTCGTTAAAAGGAATATGCGAGGGAGATTTTTAAATGGATTGGATAAGAGTGGATCTTGAGGCTATAGTGTGGATAGTCAGAGAATTTGAAAGTCGTGTGGAGGGACACGTTGTTCGTATTATTATTACTTGATTAAACTTTATATACAACGATCGATCTTTTAAAGTTAATGACATTATTTATGAAAGTGGAATATGAAATACTGAAGTATGTAAACTATGTATCAATAAGTATTTATTATTTATGGGTTTGTTGAAAATGAAATTCATTACATATTACCTTTTATTTGTAAAAAGTTCAATATACGAACACTATTTCTAAAATATGAAATTCTTGTAAAGAGATATGAAGGTTATAAGAATATTGCATAACATGGAATTAAAATAATATATTATCTACTTGAACTTTATTCCCAAATTAATGTTAGGAAGATTTAATTCCTAATTTGCATAATGATTTTTTGGTGATTCAGTTTTGTCAATTTAGTTTTCCTTTAAGATTTTTAAAATGTTAATTATATAATCTACGAAATGCGATATCATGAAATGGTGATTTATATAAACTATGTATCAATAAGTATGTATTAGTTATGAATTCGTTTCAGATGCACAATACATTGTCTTTTATTTGTAAATAGTATAATATACCAACGCTACTTATATTGACAATTTTGATTATTAAAAATTTAGGGAGAAAATGTAATGTTTTGAACATAATGATAAAGAGAAAGAGTTTTATGTACAGAAAAAATAACTATATTTTCCCGTCATAATCAATTATACATATTTAATTTAAAAAAAAAATATTTTCTTTCTTGATTCTTTCTTTTGATATTTTCATTATTTGCTTTATGTCTATTCTTCGGAGAGCTGATCAAACCAGTCGTTCTCGAAAATGTTTAAGAAATTTGCATAACACACCTTAAACAAAGCTAAATGTGGGAAGCTAAATACGACGTTAGTTGATGTAAGTTCTTCTCTCTCTCTCTCTCTTCATCTCTCACTCACTCTCTCTCTCTCTTCATCTCTCTCTCTCTCTCTCTGTCTCTCTATCTCTCTCTCTCTCATTTAGAGAAGCTAAATACGAAGTTAGTTGATGTAAGTTCTTCTCTCTCTCTCTTTCCCTCCATCTTCCTCTACCTTTACATCTCTTTCTCTTTTTCTATCTCTCTCCCTCTCCCTCTTCCACCCTCCCTCTCTATATATAACAAATAACTTGATTGTTAGTTCTTCCTCCCTCTCCCTCTTCATCCCTCACTCTCTCCCCCCCCCCCCTCTCTCTCTCTCTCCCTCTCCCTTTTCATCTCTCTCTCTCTCTCCCTCTTCATCTCTCCCTCTCTCTCTCTGTCTGTAGGAAGGAGCCTAAAAAGGTCAGCAAAGGTCAGGTGAACCATGACCTGGACTCGAAGGTCGACGTTTAGGCAGGGACCAGGAAAAGCGAGGTGGAAAAAAAAGTTTATTGGTTTCGTAGCCAAGGCGAGTGTTCGGGGTAGTCGGGTGGAGGTGGGTGGGGTACATGGCTGAACACATGTGGTTGAAGATACGTGTGTGTGTGTGTGTGTGTGTGTGTGTGTGTGTGTGTGTGTGTGTGTGTGTGTGTGTGTGTGCGCGTGTGTGTGTAAACTAGGTTATTCTCTTCCTCTCTCTCTATCATTCTCTCTCTCTCTCTCTCTCTCTCTCTCTCTCTCTCTCTCTCTCTCTCTCTCTCTCTCTCCCTCTCTCACTATTCTCTCTGAAGCTCCTTGTATAAATCCGTGTACATATGCTAATTTTCTTTTCATTCACAAAAGCAATCCAATTATATAGGAGAAAAAAAAGCCTAATAAAAGACACTTTGATGTCACTACCGCACCCAGGTAACAGAACTTAATATTTTTCTCCCCTTCGTCAGGAAAAATAGTTTTACGTTTCGAAAAAAAAAATGGTGTCGCAGCTGGTTTTTACATCTCCTGAAGCTGGTATCTTACATTACACTAGCTTGTGGGGCATCATAGAAATACTCGTAATAGTTAGTGTAATGTGACCCACAGCTATTTTCCGCAGATGGTATAGTGTAAGTTTGGCAACAGAATCTGAACAACTGTTTTTTTTCACGTCCACCGAAACTGGAAACAATCTTACAACTGGTATAACGTCACTAAATCTTTCAACACATCCTACATTCCCTCTGATATGATCCCCAGAACTGGAATAACACCAGTTTTTATCCACAACATCACTACACTATCACAACACACGAACAAATTAAAAACATGAACATCATGCTAGCTAAACAACACGTTACATGCACACATATAAGATCCTAAACACCAACATCACACCAGCTATGCATCACATCACACTCACGCTATCACAACGCACAAACTCAACACGAACATCAATCTTTCTAAACATCACATCAATCACAACACGCATAAACTAAACATAAACACCACACTTTCTAAATATCACCCCAGTTACGTCATCACAACACGCATAAATTAAACACAAACACCACGCTTTCTAAACATCACACCAACGCCATCATGATACACATAAACTCTACACCACACCACCTAAGCATCACACGCAAACTCAACACCATCACACCAGCTAAACACCACACCACGCTCAGGTCTCACGGATGCGATTTTACAAACTGCAGATCAGAAGAGCGTAGAGATGCCAGATAGCGAAATCCAACAAATTCAATCTATAGTGTGACTATATCACGATTATGATACACGTGAACCATATAACGTAGAAAAACAAGTTGCAAAAAAACAATAATTTATTTTCCATAAAGGCTTCGTGGTGACCTGATCATTTAGTAGCAACAATTTTGAGACAGATCTCTTTATGCCATCGTGATATGATAAAAGTTGTTTGTAATGTGTAGTTAAAGTTGTAATCCTAAGGAAACTTCGTGTGAATTAATTGCAATAAACCATTGATTTTTTTCATTCGTTTATTCTATTTTCAGTTGCCAGTTTTCCGACACCATTGATCATGCTGGTATTATTGAATGCTTTAAAATCCGAATTCAAAACACGGAAACCCACAAAATCAACTCAAGAGACGCAAAACGACATATTTTTCACTACACTATGCATATTTTATTCGCATGCGGAGATAAATAAATCCAGGTTAGTGTAAAATCCTGAGGTTACTAGGCTTTTGATACACTTGAGTCGGAAAAGGGACTATCTGGCATTCGTTTTCTTGGGACATCACATGACCTTATTAACATTAGTTAGATAAACTTACTAGTTTACCTTACGTGCTCCATCAAAATCTTACGGTCGAGGTATATGTTCGTGTTACACGTCATCTATTAAGATTATATTCTACACTCAGGTGGAAAAAATATTCAGCCTGTCAGTTTACAATGTGAACGTAAATATGTTTTATTTACTTATTCATTATATTTTTTATGCGTGACCACAGCCTATGATATAATGGACGTGACTATGTATACTTTTATCTCAGTAATAACATCCACTTCACCGTCATATCGTCATTTGCATTCCACCACTTAAACAAAACATCTACCCTTCAGTTTAAACTTACCCGAATATTACATTTTTATCTGGAAACTAAGAGGAATCAGCCAAACGACGCCTGGCATCACTGCATTCTTCTAGTATAGTGAAATCGCTACTGGCAGGTCACCATCACCCCCCCCCCCACCTTCACCATAAGCCCAACATGACGAGTTTAACGCAGCGTGTGGGCTCCTTACTCTACCTTGTGAGTCCGAATGCGACGACATACCAACATGAGGAGGAAATTCCGAATTATGTTGATGAGGTAAATGTCGTTTTTGTTTTTGTTGTTGTGGATTACTGTTAATTAATTTTGCTTTATTTTTCGGGGGGATCGTTTTATGTATATTATGGTGTTAATTCAATGTTAATTATGTTGATGATCATGTTGTAAATAAGTGTTGAATTGTATTATTGTTACGATTGTTTTTTTTTAAATAATTTCTGTCTTTGTACTGTTCATTGTGATGTTCAAATAATGTTAATCTTCCTGTTAATGATAATGTTAATGTGCTGAATAATATAATTATCAACTTAATCATCGTAATATCAAATATGAAAGTGCATGATAATGAAGTTTTACTCTGTATATCAAGATACGAATGGCACAGTTTTATCATGCTAAATCTGCTTTATGTCCACCCCTTTATACCTAGAATACATATGCTTGCCGTTTTTTTTTCATAAAGTATTAACAAATTTGATAAATGTACTTGGCTACCCACATACATATTTTCTTATCTACGTTCCTACCTACGCATACTCAATTATATCCGTAAACACACACACAAACATATCTATCTATATCTATCTATCCATCTATATGTCTATCTATTTATTTATTTCTGTGTACCTACATGTCTACCTATCGATCTATCTGTCAATTTATCTATTTCTATATATCTACCTGTCTATCAGTCTATCTATCTATCGATCTATCTCTCTTCTACCTATCTACATAACTACTCGTTTACCCGTTAATCAATCAACTACTTTTATCTATCAATTTAATCAAACATTTATTTTCTCTCGTTTTCTTTCAATTGTTCCAACCCTTTATTTTTTTCATTTACTTTCAGGCAGTTCCATTATTCATGGCCTTTATTCTTCTCGAGGCAGCTGTTCGTTTCGCATTAGGAAGGGAAGTAAGGCTGAACGAAAGCATTGCGTCAACTGGCGTTGGAATTCTGCACGAAGCAACGGGGTAAGTGAGAGTGAGTGTGAGTGTGAGAGGGAGAAGAGGAAGAGGAGGAAGAGGGAGAGGGTGAGAGAGTGAGTGTGAGAGAGAGGGAGAAGAGAAAGAGAGGAAGAGGAAAAGGAAGAGGAAGAGGACGAGGAAGAGGGAAAAGGTGAAGGTGAGAGAGGGAGAGGGTGAAAGAAGGGAAAAGGAAGGGGAGGGGGAGGGGGAGGGTGAGGGGAAGGGAGAGGAGGGGGAGGGGGGAGAGGAAGAGGGTGAGGAAGAGGGTGAGCGAGGGACAGGGAGAAAGAGGGAGAAGGGTGAGAGAAGGGAAAAGGAAGGGGTGGGAGGAGGAGGAGGAGGAAGGAGGAGGAGGAGGAGGAGGAAGGAGGAGGAGGAGGAGTGGTAGAGGAGGAGGAGGAGGAGGAGGAGGAGGGGGTAGGGGTATACGAATGTACATGACCAAGTATCTGAAACATTTCGATCATGATGAACATAGTCATTTTCATTCATGTTTTTTCAACATTTTTCCCAACGAACACAGGTCAAGGTTAGAGTAGGTATGAGGGGGGCGGGAGGGTTGATAAACAAAGAAACAGAAAATAAAGAGTGGAGGGATAAAGAAGAGACGGAGAATGGGAGAGAAGATAAGGAAGGGGGGAGAGGGATCAGACGAGAGGGACAGAATAGTTAGGGAAAGTGTTACATTTTGATAAACTCATCACTCTCACGTGCAATGGTTATTCATGAAATAAATATACAAATATCAAACATAAACAATAGACAAAACAAACGAGTAAAATGAATAAACAAGTCAATTATAAATCTAAAAAAAGAAAGAAAAAAAAAAAGTGAGTGTGAGAGGGAGAGGAGGGAGAGGGGGAGAAGAGAAAAAGGGAGGGGGAGGGGGGTGGGGAAGAGTGAGTGGGAAAGAGAAGAGTGACATGGAGAGGGAAAAAATAAGAAAAAAAAAATGCATCTTAACCCATTGCCGCCGGGAATGGCATGTACGTACATGCCATGCCCACTGTGAGTCGACTTGTTCGATTGTTTTCACACATAGATGGCTACACTTGTACTAAGTATCCAATGAGCCAATTACAGTACTGCCTGTCTCGCACGTTCACTCTTTTCATCGATTTACGAAAATATTTACGTTATCCTAATTTGCTGTTAACAATAACACCATCTATATTGATAGCACTAGTAAAAATACGTTTTTCCCGCCAATTCAAGGAAAAGTGAAATCAGGACTAGCAGAGCTAGTATAAAAAATAAAAAAATAAAAAAATAAAAAATGAGTACTGCATTTCCCCCATTTTTTGTTCATTTTCCCCGGCGGCAATGGGTTAATAAATAAATAAACAAAAATGATACAGATAAATGAACGTATATTGAGTAAGTATTTAGAATGCGCTAACAACGCACTTCCACGTATATTATGGCAAGACACATAGATTTCCATGGCAACTTATCGTCATATAATTTACCAATCCAAGTTCCAAAATATCTTGCAAGGGTAAACTTACTTATTTGTCTTGGACGGCGTGTGGTCACTATCGCCTTGATTCGGTAGGTAGGCCGTCCAGATTTGCAGATTTGAATAAAATAAAGTAAATATAATATAATATGATGAACCGTTATAGAAGAGAAGAGAACATAACGCGTGGAAGGACTCATATTTTGAAAATCAACGATGGTGTCTTCTAAACATTTTCCCCGTTTCCTTCACTATTTAACTTGCTTTGGTATCAAATTCACTTTTTCTCATTTCCTTCACTTCATTCTTTTATTTGATTTGTAGGTCCCTCCTCGTTCTCACGTTTCATTCATTTCCTCCACTCTCCTTCATTCACAAATTCCTTAACCGTTCACACACTTCATTCATTTCTTTCTGTTTCATTCACAAGTTCCTTAACCGTTCAGCTCTCCCCTCTCTCTTCATTCATTTCCTCCACTCTCCTTCATTTACAAGTTCCTTAACCGTTCAAATACTTCGTTCATTTCTTTCTGCTTCATTCACAAGTTCCCAAACCGTTCACACATTTCATTCATTTCTTTCTGTTTCATCCACAAGTTCCTTAACTGTTTAACACACTTCATTTCATTTCCTTCACTCTATTTCATTAATTTCCTTCATTCCTTTTCATCCACTTCCTTCACTCTTTTCACTCCCTTTCCTTCACTCCTTTCACTCCCTCTCCTTCGCAGGTTCCTCACCGTGGGCTTCATTCTACTAGGATACGAGTCGCTGTACCAGTGGCGTGTCCTAGACTGGCCCTGGGATTCCCTAGTTACCTGGTGGGCATCGCTTCTTCTGGTTGACCTGTGCTACTACTGGGTCCATCGCGCTAACCATGGTAACTGGTAGTTGTTGGGTCGTTAAATGGTTGGATGGTTGGATGGTTGGGTGGTTAGACGGTTGGATGGTTAAATAGTTAAATAGTTAAATAGATGGTTAAATAGTTGGGTCGTTAAATGGTTGGATGGTTAGATGGTTGGACGGTTAGATGGTTAGATGGTTGGGTGTTTAAATGGTTGGATGGGTAAATAGTTAAATAGTTATATAGATGGTTAAATAGTTGGGTGGTTAGACGGTTAGGTGGTTAGATGGTTGGGTGTTTAAATGGTTGGATGGTTAAATAGTTAAATAGATGGTTAAATAGTTAAGTAAATGGTTAAATGGTTGGGTGGTTAGACGGTTGGATGATTAAATTGGTGAAATGTTTGGATGACTAAATGGTTAAATACTTGTCTTGTAGTCGAGATCTACTGCTAGGTCCATCTTGCTAACCATGGTAACTGATGGTTATTGGGTGGTTAAAGGTTTAAATGGTTGTATGGTTGTGATAAGAAAGGGTTAATGGTTTGGAAGGTTGATTCTTTTTTCTATTATTATAAGTACCAGTATTATCTTTGTTATTACAGTCTTCACATCGTTTTTTTTCCCTTCCTTCACTCTCTCTGAAACTAAAATTAGATTAAACTAAAAAGTAAAACGTGAAACATCATCTTAAATACGCTGAAAGATTGCAAATCCAAAAACAAACTTCACCTCAAGATAACGCAATGCAAAGTAAAATATTTATCTCAACTTTTTTTTTTCAAAAATTAATCTTCCTCTGGGTCGTTTAAGCAATCCAGCACATAAGCCCATAGTGTCATAAAACCCAGGCCCTGGAAGCCCTACTAAATAAAACACCAAAGACCTGCAGCCCCTCCACCGAGGCAAGCGACTTTCAACCAACCTCCTTCGCTCGTTGAGCAAAAACCCGAACCCATTATAATCCCATAACTTATAAACCCATTAATATATATTTATAAACCATTATAAACCCATGAATACATAATCATAAATCATTATAAACCCATGAATATAAAATCATAAACCATTATAAACCCTCCCCTTCTCTCCTGCAGAAATCAACCTCCTCTGGGCCGTCCACCAAATCCACCATTCCTCGGAGGATTTCACCCTCTCTACCGCCCTCCGCCTCTCCGTCTTCCAGCGCCTCGCCCACTTCGGGTTCTACCAGCCCCTCGCCCTCCTCGGGGTCCCTAAGACGTCCGTGGTGGTTCACATGGGGTTCAACTACCTCTTCCAGTTCTGGGTTCACACCGATGTGATCCGGAAGCTTGGTCCGATCGAGTGGGTTTTCTGCACGCCCTCGTCGCATAGGGTGCATCACGGTAAGGGAGAGAGAAGAGGGAGATGCAAGAAGGAAAGGGAGAAGGAGGGAACTACGGTAAGGAAGATACACACACACACACACACACACAGGGAGAGAGAGAGAGAGAGAGAGAGAGAGAGAGAGAGAGAGAGAGAGAGAGAGAGAGAGAGAGAGAGAGAGAGAGAGAAGGGAGAGAGAAAGAAAAAAAAAAACGAAAGAGAATGAGAGAAAATAGGTTTTAATTGTTTGTTTTTTATTCATTTTTGTTAATTTCCTTCTAAAGAAATTAAGAAATCATGATGAAATATACTTAGTAACACAAAATAATTAATAACTGAAAAGGAAAAAGAAATGCAATAACACATCAAAATGAGATATTCCGCAAAAGCATCACATCCTTTTCATCAGCGACACTAAAGCTCTCTCCCCTCTCTCTTCCCTCCTTTTTCCTCCCTCATGCCCTCCTTCCCTCCCATTCCCTCCTCCTTTTCCTCCCTCATTCCCTCTTTTCCTCCTTCTTTTCAATCCCCCGTTCCCTCATTTCCTCCTTCCTTACCTCATTCCTTTTTCTATCTCCCAATTCCCTCCCCCATTCCCTCTTTTCCCTTCCCCCTCCTCTCCTTTTCCATTCTTTCTTCCCACGTTTTTCCTTCTTTTCCTTCCCTCCTCCATTCATTTTTTCCCTCCCTCCTTCCTCCTATTCCTTCCCTCCCCCATTCATTTTTTCCCTCCCTCCTTCCCTCCTCTTCCTTCCTTCTCCCTTTACCACCATCCCTCATTTCCTCCCCATTCCCTCCTTTTTCCTCCCCCAATCCCCCTTTTCCCCTCCTTCTTCCCCCTCCCATACCTTGTTTCCCTTCTCTCCTTATCCCTCCCCCATTCCCTTCTTTTCCCTCCCTCCTTCCTTCCCCATTTCCTCCCTTTCCCTCCCATTCTCTCCTTTTCCCTTCCTCCTTCCCTCCCCTCCCCTCCCTCCATTCCCCTTCCTTCTTCCCTCCCTCCTTTCCCCTTCCTTCTTCCCGCCCCTTCCCTCCCCTTCCCTCCCTCCATTCCCTTTTCTCCTTCCCTCCCTCCTTCCCTCCCCTTCCTTCCCTCCCCTTCCCTCCCTCCTTCCCTCCCTCCTTTCCCCTTCCTTCTTCCCTCCCTCTTTCCCTCCCTCCATTCCCTCCCCCATTCCCTCCCTCCTTTCCCTTCCCTCCTTCCCTCCCCTTCCCTCCCTCCATTCCCTTTTCTCCTTCCCTCCCCTTCCCTCCCTCCCTCCCCTTCCCTCCCTCCTTCCCTCCCTCCTTTCCCCTTCCTTCTTCCCTCCCTCTTTCCCTCCCTCCATTCCCTCCCTCCTTTCCCTTCCCTCCTTCCCTCCCCTTCCCTCCCTCCATTCCCTTTTCTCCTTCACTCCCTCCTTCCCTCCCCTCCCATTCCCTCCCCTTCCCTCCCTCCCTCCCCTTCCCTCCCTCCTCCCCTTCCCTCCCTCCTTCCCTCCCTCCTTCCCTCCCCTTCCCTCCCTCCCTCCCCTTCCCTCCCTCCCTCCCTCCCTCCTTCCCTCCCCTTCCCTCCCTCCCTCCCCTTCCCTCCCTCCCTCCCTCCCACAGGGGCTAACAAGTGGTGCCTCGACAAGAACTACGGCAGCCTCCTCATCGTCTGGGACAGAATCTTCGGTACTTTCCAGGAGGAGAAGGAGGGCGAGGAGATCGTCTACGGCCTCGTGGAGCAGCCGCAGTCCATGAATTCCGTGTGGCATGAGGTAGGTCATGACAGGTCAGAGGTGGAAGAGAGGTCACTCAAGGTCAGAGGTGGACAACAGGTCATTGATGGTCAGATATATATCTCTATCCGTCTCTTCATCTCTACCTCTCTTCTTACCCATTTATCCGTCTCCTTATCCATCTATCCGACTTCTTGTCCCTCTATCAATTTCCTAATCCCTCTATCCGTCACCTTATGCATTTATTTTTCGTTTATCCGTCTACTTATCCATCCATTTCGCTATCTATCCGTCTCCTTACCCATCCATCTCGTTATCTCTAAGTCTACTAATCCCTCTCTCCGTCTCCTTATCCTCCGTCTCCTCCCCCCCCAGTTCTTCTACTTCGGCGAGGTCCTGACGAAGGCGCGGAGCATGAGCAGCTGGGGCGACTCCCTGAGGGCGGTGTTCTACGGGCCCGGCTGGGTCCCCGGGGCGCCTCGCCTGGGGGACCCCGACGGCTTCCCGGACGTCAAGGCCCCCCGGGTGAAGTACGACCCCCAGATGCCCGCGTGGAACCTGGGGTATTGCATAGTCCACCTGTTCCTCGCGTTCATTTTGCAACAATTGCTGCTCGTGCGGTTTCAGGTGAGTTTGTGGTTGTCGTGTGGTCTTGGGTGTTGATTTATTCATGTTTTCTTGTGCTGTTTATACTTTTCTTTTTTTTTTTTTTTGTTTATCTCTTATTTCGTTTTTGTTTTGTTTTGTTTCTTTTTGTTTTGTTTTCACTGTTTTGATCTGTTTGTTTATGTCTGTGTCTTTCTATCTCAGTCTCTCTCTCTCTCTCTCTCTCTCTCTCTCTCTCTCTCTCTCTCTCTCTCTCTCTCTCTCTCTCTCTCTCTCTCTCTCTCTCTCTCTCTCTCTCTCTCTCTTTCTATCTATCTATCTATCTATCTATCTCGATGGTCTATCTATCCATTCATCTATATCTCATCTCTATCCATTCACATATCTCTATCTATCTATCTATACAACTATCTATCTATTTATCTATCTATATATCTGTCTATTCCTCTTCTCTCTCCCTCCCTCTCTCTTTGTAACACCTCTTCATTTAATTATTAGTCAAAGACC